GCTAGGCAATGCCTGCCCCTGCCCCAGCCCCACTTCCTCCCTCACCATGGGGGTGTCAATCTGCACCCCCCACCCCAACTCCTTCCCCACCACAGGCTTACCGTCCAGGCTGCCCATTGACTATTGGATCAGTATCAGCCAATATAGCTGATTAATAATTGGCCATCGGTATGAGCCAAAAAAAATCTTTATCGATGCACCACTAGGTAAGATAGCTAAAACATTTTTAAAATTTCAAGTGTATTTACTTCAGTCAACTTAAGGTGAATTTTAAAGGTTGAAGTCATATTAAAAACAGCATATACTTGTTAAAAACATCTATTGCTATCTATTGCTATCTAACACCTACCATGGGAACTCTACTCAAGGGAAGAGAACCAGGTTTCAATGGCTGATCTTTCACATAAAAAAAGTTGTTGATTTTTTTCTGAAGTCTCTTTAAAAAAGTTAGCCAACATAGCATAAAGTTTAGAATGCAAAACCCCACCCTCCCAAAACACACCTAATATTTCTTACAAGTTAGCTGATGTATCACATCACATCATTTATCTTGTCCAATATTCCTCTGCAGGAGAAAGCTTATATAAGTCCCATAACATATCTAATTGGTTGCAGCCATGTTCCCACATCACCACAGACAAGTTACACAAATCTGAACAAAGCAGCTAAGAACACCACACAATTTTTGCAGTAAAGCATTTATTTGATTAACCTCAGCATGCATGCCACTGTCAAGGTCACCTAGAGGAATTAGTGCCCTTCAAGGGACAACTGTCTTTTTTTAGCAAATATCTTCCTTATATGGTAATTAATCTAAAATACTTTTCAGCAGTCTCAACTGCTACTTGTCAAAACTGTAAAAATGATTTATTTTCGTAGTTTAGCTGTCTATGGAACTAGAGCTGAGGTTCGGCCTCTAGTGCTCACAATAACACCCTGCTGTGACCCAAGGTCAAAGCTCACATCACTGAGGAACAGGGATCTGAGGATGCAAACACTACGAAGAAAGAATTAAGATGGTTCAAGGCTATGTAAAGCAAAGAAATTCTCCTGATCTAAATGCAACATGCAATTCACTAGTTAATTGAGCGATAGTTATTATAGCATGGCTGGTCTAAACTCATTGTGCGAGTCACCAATTAAATTATGCAATAATTACTAAGCACTTGTGGCGTGGGCAGTCTTACTTTCTGTGTGGGGCCAGGCTACGTTTATAGCGCGATTCACCTATTAATGGTGTGATCATTACTTGACGCTCAGGGCTAGTCTTACTTTGTACGTGTGCCTGGGCTACGTTTATAGCGTGATTCACCAGTGAATCGCGCAATGTCGGTTACGTGCAGTCGCAGCCCCCTGCTAGATGAGTGAATTAGACCTGGGGAGCCTCCAGCGATAAAGGCACTGCACCTCCTCGAGCTCTCTCCATCCAAGCCAGCGGCACCGCTCACGGCGCCCTTGCGCGCGCAGCCAGGCCAGGACACACGTTACATGTAACGCGCCACGAAGGACCGCGAGAGCACGGACGGGAACGAGGCTGCTCCGCGGCACCCTTCCCCCACCGGGACGCATCTTCTCCCCCACCGAGACTCACCTTCCTGCCGGCAGTAGGACATGGTGAGGGATTCGCGCGCCGGGCGCCGCCTGACCCCACCGGTGCCCAGTCCGCCCGGTCTCCACGCTGTGAAAGCAAGGCCCCCGGGCTGCCCCCACACTGCCTGCTGGTAAGCAGCGAGAGGGGGGGCACAAGGTGCTGCGGGAACACCCTGGGGAGCACCCAGCACCCCGCTCCTGCACGCTGAGCGCCGTTCCGGGGGAGTTCAGCCGGCAGCTAAGCGCAGGCACTTTCGTGGCCACCCTCGGCTGCAAACGGCCCCTCCCGGCATGCTTTGCGCGGGCCGCTCTTCTCCCCCGCCCGCGCCAGGATTCGCTTTCCCGGCACGCCCCGCGGCCCGCCTGGCTCCCGGCGCGCCTCGCGGCCGCGAAACTACAATTTCCGGCATGCCCCGCGCCATCGTGCAGCGCCCGCGCCCGGGAGAATGTCGCGGAACGTAAGTGGTGCACCGCGGCGAAGGCCCCGGGTGTCCGTCTGTCCCTGGGGGCGATACTGGGAGCGGAAAGCAGAGCGGCGGGTCGGGGCTGGGAGCAGCTAGAGGCAGGAGAAGCAGCAGGTCAGGCTGGGGGCGGGCACAGGGCAAGGAGCAGAGCAGCAGGGCTGGGCCAGGCGCTGGGAGTGCAGAGCAGAGCTGCAGGGTCTGGCTGGGAGCAGAAAGAGCAGCAGGTCAAGTTGGAGGCAGGGAGCACAAGACAGAGCGGCAAGTTAGGTTGTGGGCTCAGGACTGAGGACACGGGAGCGGAGCAGCAGGTCGGGCCCGTGTGGAAAGTGGAGCAGCAGGGCAGGCAGCAGAAAGCCGAGTGGCAGGTCAGGCTGGGAGCACAGGGCAGAGCTGCAGAACAGGCAGAGGAAGGGACTGGAGTGCTGCTTCGGGATGACTCGGTGGCCCTCACCCTCCTGCCGGAAAGGTTGACCGCGCTGCTCCATTCACAGCAAAGTCAAATGTGTTCTCTTGTCCACAGCTCCACTTATCTGCAGTACAGGCTCCAGGAGCACAACTTGCTCTAGGACTAGAGAAGGGCAACAAGGATGATTAGCCACGTGGAGGGGTTTCCGTATGAGGAGAGACTAAAGAGATGAGGCCTAGTCAGCTTAGAAAAGAGATGCTTACAAAACGGTGAAGAGAAGGATTTATTATTTACTCTCTCTCAATACAAGAACTAGGGATCACAAAATGAAATTGGTCGGTAGTAAGTTGAAAACTAACAAAAGCTTTTTCACACAGCGCATCATTAAAATGTGGAACTCGTTGCTATCTGATGTGGAAGGTGACAGTTTAGCCACATTCAAAAAGGAATTGGACAGATCCTTGGAGGAAAGGGACATCAGTAGCTACCGACCATGGGACTGACGGGCACAGCCTCTGAATCAGAACTTGCTGGGCCTTAAATGCTGGAGGCTGCAAGTGAGGGAGGAACAGGGGGAAAAGACCTTGGTCAGGCCCAGTTCACTCTTCCTTTCAGTCTCTGCTCTCTGCCACTATGTGATACAGGAGACTGGGCAAGATGGATCTATGGTTTAACTCAGTAAATGGCAATTATGTTCCTAAGATTCAAATGTGGGACACAGGCTTACTAACTTGTAGCCCAGGAAGCTTTAAAGGCAGCACTGGACCAAAACCTGCTTTTCTAATGCACTGACACTTATTACTTCTGATATACATACAAAAATGTAACGAAAACAAGATAAGGCAACATTTAACAGAGAGAGTCTAAACCAGGGGGTGCCTCATTTTAAACTAAACGTCTGATCCTTCCCCAAGTGGTTTTGTGGTTGTAGGAGTTACAATATATCATGTTATACTGATAATCATTAGAAATTTCCTACATGTTTCTTGATGGATCCTCCCATGCATACATGCCAGTTTGCTGTCTCTAACATTTCATTTTTGTTTTCCATTAACAGGTCTCTGACACAAGCAGCAAACAAGAACATGTTAAAATTACCAGTGAGCCCAAACCAGGGTTCCTGGAGAGGCTCAGTGAGACATCTGGGGGGATGCTGATTGGTTTTGTGTTATTTTCCCTTTCTTTCTACGTGCTTTTTACCAATGAGGTATGTGAAGCAGCGCTGGCATATAAATTGCATGTCAAGTCAATGTTTTCCTGTATGTCTCGAGTCTATGGCACTTCGAGTCAAACTCTTTCTTACCTGAGTGTTTGTAATGTCAACTGCAAAGTATTCGGGCTGTCCCCTAAGCTTTGTTATTAATTCATATGCAAGAAAGGTGGAACATATGGGAAGAGCCTGAATCCTATTGCTGGTTGAGTTGGAAACATAATAGAGGAGTAGGATTTTGGATAGGAGAGCTGTTTATGAGAGTTTTTCAGAACTAACTGTGAAGGGAAGTGACAAGAACATCCAGAGTAAGCAATGGAATACGGGGAAGAAAGAATAAATATTAGGTGGCAAGTGGAACTGGAAGAGCATTACATGGACTTGCACATGGCTTTTATGTGCAAGTGCCTCTTGTGTAAGTCGCTTCCCCCTTTTGTACAACAAAGGGAATTAATTATTCTGTTGTACTATTGCATAGGGGGAGGCTATAGATTTAGTACTCTAGTTGACTTGCTTCACTTGTATCAAAACAAACAGTAGCCACAAGTAAGCAAGCAACCATATTCCTAAAACCTTGTTTTTACATTCCCATCTTTCCCATACTTGCTCAGAAAACTGTTAGAACTTATCTGAACTATATTGTAAGTGTGTAAAGCTAGTTTAATCTCCACAAAACTGAGTAATTAGCTATACTAGAGGTTATTTAATACTGTAGTCTCAAACTGTTTGTTTTAATTTGAGGCTAATTTTAGTTCTGATTCTGCAGATACTCGGGCGCTCAACTTTACTACTCGTAATACATCTTCCAGAATTAAATGAGCTACTCATGCTAGTAAACCTAAGTATGTGCATAAGAGTTTGCAGGATTAAGGCCTTCCTTTATCCTGAAAGTATTTTTAGTCTGATCTGACTGGAAATCTTGGAGTGGAGGCAGAATTTGGTGAAATTTTAGAGCTTCATCCAGAAAACAAAAAGCTTCTACCATGCTACATAAAGGAAGAAGAAGAATTCTTGCTATCTCAAACAAAAGTGCGTAGCATAAAGAGCAATAACCTGAACTTAAGGAAGGGAATATTATCAACCAGTCAAAATAATTGTATGGTAAAATAACGCCATAGTAGCATCCATACTATCATTAGTGAGTACGGTGAAAAGGAAGAAAATAATTTTAGGGTATCATGGTAGGAAAAATGTGCTGGTGAGTATGTACATTAACTTTAGTTGTTAAGTTGCATGAAGAAGTATTGTTCTTTTGAGTAAAAATTGGGCATTAAGATTGAAACAACAAAGTACAGATGTTTTATGCCATGTGCCTGATCGTGCTAGCGTTTTGTGGAATCTGTTACATAGTCTCCTGGTTGGTTCATTGGTTAATTCAAGATTCTTCCTCATTTTTTTTTCATTGTATTCTCTTTTAATTGACTGCAGGGACGAGCTTTGAAGACAGCCACCTCTCTTGATGAGGGCTTGTCTGTTGTAATTCCTCTTGACAACATACACACCGTGTCTCAACAGAATGAGGGGAAACTAGTGCATTTGTCTGGTGCCCTTGCAACATCAAAGGCAAGTAAAAAAAATAGTGGCCAAAAATTAGAGCATAAATTGAGGGAATGGAAAGCTCTTCTGTCAGTTAAAACCAGGCATACTTGATATGCAGAAATACTTTGGGATCTAAACATGCCCTACCTGAGTATGTTGATGTTTTCATTTCTTCCTCACATCTGTAGTGTGTGTTTGGGAGTTGTCATTGCATTCAGAAAGATGCAAAGACTTGAGGATCTGATGTGGAAACTGCATCATCTTGTTGTATCAGATATAATTATGTTGTGCTCAGTTCTTTTTGCAAGGCATGTCATGATGAAATAATGACCAGCAGAGAAGACAAAGGGTTCATTTTAAATCTGTTCAAGCATGGTTAAATGCCTTGAGTAAGGGATGGTGAGCCAGGACACCTGGTTGTCCTTTCCACAAACTTGTCTCAGTTTCTTCAGGCCAAATTTATCACTGCGCTAAATAGATATCATGCACTCCCTCCTGTGCCAAGACTTTTTATACTGCATCCATTGCTGGTATATCAGTAACTTCATGGAATTTCATCATTTGTACCAGAGTGAAATTTGATTACCCACCCAATGTGCACATTTCCTTTTATTCACGTGGCTATGGAAAGTATAATTAACATAAATAGAGGTCTTAAAAATCCTCTGAAAAAAGATACGCAGCAGTAGTGCAGAATTATACTGTTTCTAATGCATTGCTTCATTACTCCACTTTTTAAAATTAACTTTGGGTCTTGAGAGTTTTTTGTTCTTTTTTCTTTTTTAACATTTTGAAGTGAAAACATTTCCATGAAATCCCTTTTGTGGCATAATGAAGTATGATTTCCCCAACATAAACTTGAACAGATCAACTTTGCTAGCAAAAATATGCAGGTATTTTTATGTTGAATTGTGTGTGTTTGTATTTTAACAGCCTTTGTTCGATCCCAGCTATGGGCTTTCCATCCAGGCTGTCAAGCTCAAACGTAATGTAGAAATGTACCAGTGGGTAGAATATGAAGACTCCAAGTAAGTCGCTGCTGCTTTAAGGCTCTGTTCTGAACTTAGTTTTTTGACTTTACCAACATACTGCTTAAATTTAAGGAAGATAGACTGGTTGATGGATAAACTTTTTCATGTAACTTATTTGTTATGTGACAGCCTTGGGATTTAACCTTGGGATTCCGCCTTATTTGCTCTGTGACCCTTGGAATTTCACAAGCTTTTGTTTAGTTTTCTGTGCAGGTTTCTTTTTGTTTTTTTTTCCTATGACCCCAGATTTGTGCAGGTGAACCCCCTTGCAGGGTCAGAACACAATGAACAAACCCTTCTAACATCACCCACCCACCCCCTGACCTCCAAGAGGATGTAACAACTTACAGCCACTGCCTTACCTCATTTAGCTCTATTTCAGCCTGCTTAAAAGCCACAGCTGCAGCTCAGCCTTTACCTTCTCGTCTCCATCACTGTTCTGGTACAAGCAATGTCAAGAGAATCCAGAGCCTTAAATTTTCATAATAGTCCACAAATCTGTTGAATTGACTCCATCATACGCTGTGAGCTCTGCTCCATCTAAGTATTTTTACTTTCTTTTTTTAATAAATAAAATATTTAAAATTAAAACAAAAACATAAATCCATGGGCCAATTGCTTTCTTAGAAGACCAAATAAACTGTACAGTATAAAATGGAAATCTGTAATAAGTACCAGTATTAAATCCGAACTGTCCAGCTAATACCTGTTACCTAATAGAAATGGAAATGTTTTGAAGTAGTGTTTACACTGTTGCAGTTAATGACCTACAGCTTGGAACAGAGGCGTGGACTCTATTCTCAGATCTGCCAACAGCCAGTAAGTTGGTATGTGACTTTGGACAAATCTTTAATTTTCTCGGTATTACTGCATTCATGTGTATAAAACTCCTGTACAACTGGGAGGAAAAAAGTACCTAATTTGTGGATAATCCATTAGCATTTTGTTTTGTTTTTTCCCTGCTCTCCCTCCCCCCACAAATAGTATTAAAATAATTTCTAGCAATTTCAGTTGCCTGGAAGTTTTGGGGTACCCCAGCAACATTGAGCCAATTGAGCCAAGTTTACCTGTAGTCTTCCAAATGCCTGTCTTCCTTCCATGGGACCAGGAGTTTTAATCCACTCTTACCTGTTTGATTGACAGGTGTAATATAACAGCAAAATATTATTTGCCTTTACTGTTTAAGTTAGTATAATTAGTAAACATGGATCCACAGGCATTCACATAATTTTTAGAAGGTTACAGGTAAACTTCAATGTTGCTGCCTCCCCTCCAACTTTCAGACAGTTGGAATTGATGAAAATCAAAGTTTTTTTTCTATCTTTTTGGAGGAGGATGAAGAGAAGAAAAATATACATAATTGCTCTCTACACATGTAAGCAGGACAGAGAAAATTAATTGATGATTTTCTTTTTCTTGGAAGAGGTCACGTCAAAATTCAGTTTTCCAAGCTGCATTGTATCCTAGTGCGCGCACATACTTTCTCTGGCGAATAATGAAGATGCAGAAAACGGCTTTCCAATTTTAATTTGCTTATGTTAATAGCAGGCTTCCTGGTTTAAAAAAAAAGTTCTCCATCACTTTCACCCCAGTCTACTTCAGACTTGCCTTCTCTTCAGTAATATGGTACAAGAAAAGATGGTTGCCATCCAAAATGTTTGTAACCTTTCCCTCATGCTCTCAGAACTACAACCTCTTCATTAAGAATTCAAGGCTTAGGGAAAGTTTAATTCCATTCAAGATATAACCATTTGCATTTTACTTGGTTTTCTCTGAGCTCTGTGCAAAGTTATTGACCTCTTTGCTATTTTTCTTCTCTCTCCTGCAGAGAATATGAGGAGAATGGTGAAATTAAGAAAGAAACAAGGTATTCATATAGTAAGTTAATCATTACTTGATACAAAATCAGTTGTTTCTTTTGAAGTGGAAACTGAGTTTCCATGCTGATTTGAAAGGGAGTTCTATGGTGGTCTGCCAAGAAGAGTGAAAACACATTTGGAGGAATGGGCAGTGCTGTAGCAAGGGGAGGGCGAGCGGGGCGCCTGCCCTAGGCACTGAAGCGAAGGGGTGCCAACAGGTGCTGCCCAGCTGGGGCGGGGCACAGGATGGAGCCACAAGCGGCTTGTCTGGGTGGTGTGGGGATGGAGGGAAGGCAGCTCCCACCACTGCATGCACTCCCAGGCAATCATGGAAGGGTCCCCTGGATCTGTGCACGGGGCAAGGGTGGGCTGCCATGGCAGGCTTTGCCCCAGGTACCAAACTTCCTTGCCATGGCACTGTGAATGGGAGAAGGGTTCTAAGCCATGCTCCCTTGGCAGGCCTTGGTTCCTTAAGACAGTTGAGATTGGAGCAGAACTAGCCCATTCAAGAGTAAATGCAAAAGCAAATCTTTGTGTTAGGAATTCAAGATCACCCAAAGTCTTCAGTGTTGTATAATTGTAGGGAAGAGACCTGGGAGAAGTGGCATGTGTGCTTCCACCCATATGAGCAAGTAAATATTGTTCAGGTACCAGCATGAACAGTTGAAATACCAGTGTCTTGAATGCCTTTGTATTTTGATATGTGTTGTGCTTTTTGCCAGATGCTTTTCTGGCAACAGCAGAAGAGAGGATTATTTTGATCTACCCAGTGGCAGAAAACAAATGCTCTGAGTCATCGCATCTCTGCAGATTAGCCTCTCGGCCTCACTTATCCCTGATTGCATGCCCACATTACATGCCTGTGTGCTTTAACAATCCATGGGTATAATTATAAAAATGCCATCAGCTCAGTGGAATACAGGGCTCTGTAGCATGGAAATGTATTGGGAACAGAACTGGTGGCTGTGAGCTAACAGAGCAGTTCTGCAGTAAAAGCGAATACAAAAGCCCATAAGACTGATAGAGTATGCCCTGCTAGCATCGTCACTGCCCCTAAAAAAGATACCTGCCATTGTCTGTGTCTGTCCAGGGAAGCATGTACAGCTCTTACTTTGCAGGTGAACTGCATGAAGAGGATGTGTATCATAAAGAAGCTGCTGGAACCCATATTGAGAATCTCAAGAGGTTCCCCTGTGTGGTGAAGGCAGCAGTAAAACATTGCAATACATACAGCAGCAAACATCTGTCTGCTGCTTCACCACATTGAGCCATCTGGTTGCAACAGAACTTGTATCTTGCCCTCAGCCAGGTGTAACTCGTTCACTGAGGAGCACCAGTGGTAAAGTCCAAAACTCCCACTGAACTCAGTGCAGCCAGAATTTCACTCCATCATTCTTTCTCTAGACTCCCACCCCCCCATGAGACAACAGTTGAAGTGTACTTTAAGCACCCTTTAAAACATGCATATGATATAAAGTGCATATCTGCAAGTGTAAGTTCGGTTTAAAATGTCTCTCTCTCTTTCTGCTGGTTAAGTAGAACCTGTCTAACTTGTCATTCCTTTTTTTCTTCTCTCCAACCTCTATCTTTTCCTTAGACACTGAATGGAAATTGGAAATTGTGAACAGTAAAAACTTTGATCAAGAGATTGGACATAAAAATCCAAGGTAATTCACCCCAAAACAAATTCAACCCAACTCCTGTAATACAATATCTTTGATCAGATAAAGTGTGGGTGGGGGGTGATGGAGACACTAACTAATCCTTGTAGCATGGTGAGATAGAGAATACATTGTTTCCACAGGAATTTCTTTCAGTTTTCACTCTGAGGAAGCACAAACGGGAAGTGCTCAGAAATGAACCAGTAATGCAGCCAGGATTAAGTTTGTATATAATTAATTACGATTAGCAAGTGGCATCTTTCTCCCTTCCAGTCATAAATCTTGTGCTTCTGGACTGTACTGCCTCCAAGTGTGAAAACCAAGAAGTCCTTTTCCAACTTTCCTAATCCATTAGTGTGATTAGGAACTATTAAAAGTACAAAAACAGAACGGCACCCTTTGTGATTGTCACGCCAGATGCATTGTGTGCTCATCTCTCTTGACAAGAGTGTATGCCAGATCATGGATTTGAATGTCTTGTCCTCTCCAAAATGTAATTTAGTAACTTAATTACTCCCTACTGTTGTATTTTGACTACAATAGAATAATAATAAAAAAAAATACAGATTTTTACTGCCACTCACCATAGTATTTGAGTATTTTCTAGTGGCATGTCAAGGAATGCAATGAAGATTTGCCTTGTGTAAGTAAGATCAGTGGAAGGACAGAGATCAGGTTGTAGAACAGGAGAATTTTGGAATTTGCAGGACCTTTTAGATCCTGAGGTGCTTTTTGGGGGGGGGGGGTTCCCCTCAGGGCTTTAGGGCTTTCACATAACTAGAACTTTGTTTTAAAAAATGTTGTGTATTTCTAACTAATAATGCTCTGGGCAATAAAAATAATCAAATACCTGGTCAGAAAACAAGACAAAACAAATCAAAATGCATTTTTCCCTTATTAGAGTTAATGTGCACAAGAGATCCCTAAAAGCTGGGTGACAGTTTGTGTGAAAGATAAGACCCTCTAAACCAATATATGCAAATATTAGTTTATCTTGCAATTTGATCCTGCAAATGTTTTTGCACGTAATTTACTGCTGTGTGTAATCAATAGGATTACTTGTGACAGCAAAATTAAGTATGGGTTTAAAGGTTGCAGAACTAGGACTTTGGTAACTTGATCATGGGCTAGAAATGGCTTCATGGAGTAAAGATTTACAATAGAGAGCACTTTAATTTAGCAAAAGCAAACAAGTTCTCGTGTTTAACAGCTGACATTAAACGCTTTGAGAACTAAAAGAAATATACCATTGTTTCTAGCAATGGGGATAATTTAGCTACTGATGCAACTTACCTAGGAATGTGAGTGATTTAATTATCATATGTGGTCTTTACATTGAGGTTGGATAACTTTCTGAACTCTAGCAGAACTAGATCTGTGACTCCTTCATGAAGCTTATAATAAAAATACTAGGCCGGTATTATGCAGAAGGCCAGACTAGATGTTTATAGTGGTCCTTTTTATTCATCCAAGTCCATTGCTGGCACCATTAACATAGAATGTGAGCCCCTGGTATTTTTTACATTGCACCAGCTATTTAACTTTTTGGTACTCTTGCACTCAGATTTGCATCACTACTTCACTGATCTTTTATTATCTGTTATTGATCACAAATATGTCCATAATGCTAGAATTTTTATAGAAACTATTTCTGTCCCCCAGTGCTATGGCTGTGGAATCTTTCACTGTGACTGCTCCTGATGTCCAGGTGGGCAAGTTCTTTCTTTCCAAAGGTAAGAAATGTGTGCATGGCTTTGTATGTGAATGATATGACAGCAAGACTGGGTGGTCTTGGGTATAATAACTTTCATAGATGTTAGGGTTGGAAGGGACCTTAGTAGATCATTGAGTCTGACCCCCCTCCTCTGGACACACTACTCCAACTCTGGCCTGACCAATGCCGCATAAAGGGGGAAGTATCACCTCTCTGGACCTGTTCATCATGCACCTGCCAATGCGTGATAAAGTGCGGTTAGCTTTACTGATCATTTTGTCGCACTGACGACTCATGTTCATGAGTGCTTTGTGCTCACAGGTCCCAAATCGGATGAGTTTTGCTCATTACTTTTTGGAATGGCAGTCCCTAAATTGGCCATGAAGAGATAGTGAAATGGAATGTAGGTTAATGTGCTACTTGAGACCTAGTTTTGCTTCTTTATTCTGTTCAGGTCTTATTGACAAAATAGACAACTTCAAGCAGATGAGCCTGTCAAACCTGGAAGATCCACATGCAGATGTTACCCGAGGAGGCAATTACTTTTACCATAGCGAGAACCCCAGGCGTCCAGAAGTAAGATGAAGGGTTTTTGCCTTAGTTTTTCTTTGCTGCAATTGAAATCTGCTTGACAGACTTAAAATGAAAGGCATGGCCTTGCAAGCTACCTAGAAATGTCATATCCATAAAAAATAGAAGGTGGGTGAGCTGAGCAGTCATACAGGATCCAACTCCTTGCTGAAAGGCTAATGCTGGTGATTCATTTTTGTATAGCTGAGAAACTTATGGCCACTTTTACACATGCTCCAGGTTGGGGGGTGCACTGCACTTTAGAGTGGCTCCGAGAGCTGCTCTAATTAAGTGGCACCACAACTCGTGTATCAGTTTTCCCACACTTAAAAATGGCAGCAGGCGTGCTGGAACTGAACCTTGTTTGAGCCTTAGTTCAAGTACCCCCACTGCCATTTTTGAGCACAGAGATGCTGATACATGAGAGGCAGGAGGCTGCTGGAACACGGCAATTGCCATGCTCCAGCAGACTCAATCAAGTCTGCTCCGATGCGCTGGAATTTGAGTGCGTCAGAGCAGCCTCAGTGCTCGTGCATGGGCACCCTCTGATTCATCCTTTACTGTCCTTGAGCATCTTTTTTTACATGTTAGATTGGCAGGCTAGTAAATAAAAAGAAGTGGGACTTGTGCTACTGCTGCTCTAGCAGAAGTGGGTTTCATCTGTGTCTCACTGGTCTGTGCAAGTTTCAAGGTCTGTTCCAAGCAGCTGAGTAGATTATAGCAGAAAAATAAGCCAAGGCTCTGGTAGCTCACGCAGTTCTCCTTAATGAAAGGGAAGTGAGGTGGAACACTCCTGGCATTGCTGGACTCCCATACATATGGTGGGATTGCTGAAAAATGGGTCAGGGTGCACTCTCATTTTGAGCCTTGCGCTGTGCTGTACACCCCTCAGCCTGGGGGGTGGGGGAACATGCAGGAACCCTATATAAACATCTCTTTTGGCAGTACAAAACTTTTAGGCAGTGTTGCAACCTGGAAATGCCTCATAAAGAATAGTTTCATAGGGAATCTTCTCAAAGTGATTCTGCTATTAACTTCTGGTGGTTTTTCCCTTGTTTCCAGGTGGGAGACCTTCGAGTTTCATTCTTCTATGCAGGTCTGAGTGGAGATGACCCTCACATGGGCCCAGCAGATATGGTAAATCTTCAGATTCTCCCCTAATTTGCCCATTTATGCCCTGGTGCTGGCACGCACAAAGCTCTTTAACTTTTTTTCTGCCTCTTTTATAAGGTAACTGTGATTGCTCGTCAGCGAGGGGAGCAGTTGGTTCCATATCAGACCAAGTCTGGAGAGGTCCTGCAAATTCTATATGTTGGGGATCTCTCTGCTGAGGTGAGTTACTTATGACACTAGCTAACTCTGAAATGAGAGAGGACAGCAACAAGCTGGGCAGTGAGTTGCCTTTCCCTTAGTCTTTCATTGCACAGGAGAAATTGGGTAGCATGTATCTTCCTCCTTCAGTCCTCCCACTGGGTGGGGAAATCTGGCCCGAGTACTGCCTCTCCTGCCTCTAATTTTATTGTTCAAGGGAAAGATGCTATAGCCTACTTTAAATTGTGAGCCTGTTACCCACCTTCTTAATCCCCAAGTGGTTGAATATGCCTATTATGTCTCAGCAGAATGTAAATCCTGTCTGTTTACATTTGCCGTACCTAGTTGGACTGTTTAATCCCTGCTCATTTTGTCATTAAAGCATGATTTGTAGCTAAAGTTACTATGCAAAATAACTTCCTTCTGCTACTGACTCTCATCTCTCTCTTGAGTATGAAAGGCTTTTTTGGCAGGCTCTGATTGTGGCATGATCCCTCAAATACTTTCTAAAGGTTATATTTTAAAAAGTTAGTTTTTAATTAAGCAAAGCCTGGGATTCTTCTCTCTCACCCCTTTATTACAGACCTAAGGGTTTGAAATGCATTTATTGCTAGTCTAGCTGACTGGTGAACCCTAAGGCAACTTAAGTGCACTCTAATATATCCTGCATGCTCTGACAACTTGGTGATTCATTTACTTTCTTGGCAAGTTGGTTGTCATTAGTGATTGTTTCATGCCCTGCTGCAAAGATTCTGGATGTCAAGAATTCACTTGAGTTCCCAAGAGCAGTTGAACTGGCTCTTGTTTGCAGGCTATACTGGAAAGAGAGGAGAAAAAGTATTGACTTTTGTTTTGGGGCAAGCTCTGAACCTTAAAATTTTTAATGTATGGAGTCCCAGTTTCCAATGGGGCAATGTAGTTTAGAGCAATTGTACCTAGACCTTAGTTTGTGTAACTTGCAAGTGCAGTTTCTCAAAAGATGTTTCACTGAGGCATTTTAACCAGACCCAGGCATCTAAACAATTTTGTGAATGTAATCTACTAATGGGGTCCACACAGATCTGTAAAATCTTCTTTACTTAAAAGCAAAATCTTTGCTTTATTTGGGTCCAAATGCAGATCCAGTAAAGCATACTCATAGCTTTATTACACAAAAAAGTTTGGCTCATCTGATCCCTGCTATAGCAATGCTGTTACTTACTGTACCACGTTAATTCTGATAAGGAATGAGAACACAGCAATTTATTCATAGGTGTTACACTTATTTTTAAGGAAATAGTGTTTTCTTGAATCTGAAAAGTAAAGGCTTTGGAGTGTTTGCTCAGCAGTGAAATTGAGCACTTCCCACTTGTCCTCACATTGCAAAGGGTGACAGAATGTTTTGTGATCAACAGAAGCACTCTTGACCTTTTTTGCTGCATTTTGGATTCTTTGGTAACCTATTGGGCTGCTTCTGTGATAACTGATAACCCATAGATCTATGAATCACTGAAAGTGCTGTAAACATGCACATAGCTGTTCAAAAGCATTGCATTCTGAACAGGAGAGGCACATTTTAAGGCCCTAGAAACGGCAGGAGTGGAAACCTGAAGGAAAATTAGAAACTGGAAATGTGTAACTATGTTTGTATTTCAGGAGGTCTTTCAGAAAGAACATGAGAGTAACATCATGAAGACCTGGGGCCTTCGTGCAGCAGGCTGGCTTGCCATGTTTGTTGGCATCAACCTCATGACCCGAATTCTTTATACCTTGGGTATGTTTTTTTTTTTTTATTAAAAATTGGTTTAAAGGTAAGACCTGAATTCAAACCCTTGGGGCCAGATGATCATTACATGGGAATTGGATTCTGGGGGTTTGGAATTTGGATCTGAATCTGAATTTTGCAGTCGACCTCTACATCTACAGAGGTCAGAACCAAAATCGAGATCTGAATGCTTGCTTAATGGACAGGTGAATTCTGAGTGAAGTCTTGCAGTGTACACCCATCTGCTTTTAAATTCTGGCCTAAGTCATGTTTCAGTCTAGCCTCATAGTCTAGTCCCCAGTGGACCCTGGCCATGCACTTACTAAAGCTAGAAACTGAGAGCACAACTGGTGCAGATGATTAGAAGTCCTACCCCATGCTGCAAAGCCTGACTAGCTGCTATCTGCATACAGAGCTGCCATGTACCTTAAGTCTTTCATTATTTGTATTGCAGTATCTAGAGCCCCCATTCCCGAACCACGTGGACCACAGGACTATTGTGCTGGGTGGGTGCAGTACAGACAACAAAAACAGGACTTCCAATTTGCTCTTAGCTTAGACTGAGGAAAGTGTGATGCAGTAAATTTGGTGAAAGTTGTTTGTTGCATCAAACTTGCATCAACTTGAGTCCAAAGTTACTTGTTCTGAAATAGACTCTCTGGAAAAGTATTACACTATGAGAGATGTCTGCAGAATTGGACCGAATTTTCCATAAAACAAATGCAGTTTCTGGTCTGGAGCGAAATGTGAACACTTTGAAACATTTCTTGCCTTCTGTAACCCTTTCATGCATGTTTATTGTCCATCAGCACAAGGGTTATCTTTAGTTATAATGGGACAGGCCTTGTGGAAATCACAGTTGGGTTCCAGCTCTCTTGCACAAGGCACTGAACTTGTCTTTGTCCCACTCTTCAGATAGCAGGCGAGTCAGTGCTCCTTGCTTGCCTCCCTGAGAAGTGGAGTCTTGTTTCAATAATGCCTGAAGTGATTTGAGATCTTATGTAGGCACTGTCTAGTATTAGTTGATGTTAATGGGAGTCTTTCCATTCACCTAGAGTTGATAATTTTGGGTGTCATTTCCCAGTCTTTTGGCAATATAAAATCTTATAAATGATTGCATTGTCACATGCTTCTTTCTTCATTTTCTTCCCTACCACAGTGGATTGGTTTCCTGTTGTCAGAGATCTGGTTAATATTGGCCTGAAAGCCTTTGCCTTCTGCATAGCCACCTCTCTGTCCCTGCTGACCATCTCCGTGGGGTGGCTCTTCTACCGTCCTCTGTGGGCTTTGATGATTGCATTGCTGTCTGCAGTTCCTATTGTAATTGCCAAATCCCGAGTTCAAGCAAAAAAACACCAATGAAGATGGAAGAGCTCCTTTTTGCTCTCTTTGCACTGGAGTCTGTAAAGCCTAGTGCATGAGGTTTCAAGCTATTACAACATGCTTAAGGCACATCACCAAAGAGCTCAGTTGGGTGTAATTGTTTATTCACTTAACACACAAGCACAAAAAAATGCAATTCTACAGGCTACTGATTTGTAGTAAGTCAGTGAAATTGAATTAAAAAGTCTGGAGTGGGTGAGAAGCAGTATTTGCCTCTAAACAAGCATTTGCCGGCCTCTTTAAATGAGGCAGGTGAGTATAATCTCCCAATGGACAAGTTTTATCATGTAATCTACAACTTGCAGTCTTTAGCATGTTTGTGTACCTTCCTATCTCACTTTCTCGCATGTAGGTGTGTACATTGCAAAAAAAAGGTGTGTTAATATACAAAAGCAACTTTACATACATATGAAAGCTGTTAGACTCTTGGTTTTCAGTAATTAGAGAAAAAATAGGCATAAGGCTTGCTTGAACCAAGGGTTTTTAAAAAATATAAATTGGATCATGGCCAGTCAGCTGAGATGACTTTTAAAGGTACCTGATTTTCAGAACACGCTGGACAAGGTCCTTTCCAAAGTCAGGACCCTAAACAGACTAAATGGTCTCAGCTTTTGCACCCAAGATCACTAGTATCATCTTTTTGTGGAGAGAGGATGGAGCTTGAAAGTAATTTTAAATTCCATCTGTTAACGTCCTCCACCTCTTTATTGGAGGAAGTGGGGAAAGGGGTAGAAACCTCAGATCCTGAAGCAAAACTTGTCAAACTTAGTATGTACTCCTACACGTTGTTTGCCACTTTATACAGTATGTGTGTGCTGTGTATTTTACTTCGTGAAGGCAATGAAAACACTCCATTTCACTTTATGCTATGTCATGAAAGCCAAAATCTGGATTAAAGAGTTAAACACCTCACCACTGCATTTGCAAAGCAAACAGATAACTTCTTCCTTGAGATTTAAATCCTTCAAAGTAATCCTGCTTAATCTTTAAATTTTGTAAACCTAAATAAATCGTGAGTTTTATTTCATGGTGGGACACAAAATAACTCCATAATTAACCTCATGTTCATGTTTACAGTTTTCTGCTTTCAAAAGTACTTGTGATTAGAAACAATTCTATACTATTTTTAAAGAGGGTATAAAGCTCCAAGTGGTTTGCCTAGCTTTTTGGCTGTGGCCATATCTGCGTCCTTCTTAGCACAAAAATGGTATTAAAAAAGTAAAGGAAGAGTTTAGGTAATGGGCTTTCCCCAATTTTCTTGAACAAATTTTAGTTAAGGAGCATCCTTCTATTTTTGTAGGCATTCAAACATTGTCAGTTCAATTTCAAATTCCTAGGGCCTTATTCTGTCCCAGTGAAAGCACTTGAAGTGTTTGTACATGTGCTCGGGGGTAGGGAAAGGAGGGGCACTTTAATTAGTGGCTCCAAGAGCCGCTTTAATTAAAGCATCCAGGGCACCACGTGTATCAGCATCCCTGCACTGAAAAATGGTGGCTTTAATTAAAGCGTCCACTTCTTCCAGCATGATAATTATTATGCTCCAGCAGACTCAATCAATCAAATTTGCTCCAACACACTGTAACTGGAGTAGCTTCACTGCATGTGTATAGGCACCGTTGGATGGGCAGCCTGTTGCTAAGGTTGCTGTTGATATGCAAATAGTCAGAATAGAAACTACGGGGCTATAAAGAGACTTGAAGAATTCATGCCTGTCCCTGAACCTCTGGAGCATGTCTTTCAGTGTGTGTGTCTAATGGAGAGTTGTGTGCATCTCTCTGGGGAAAAAATGTGTTTCTGCTTTCCAAGCTTGAGAAAACACTTGCATTCATGTACTGTAAATGGGGGGGGG